CCCCCACTCCCCACAAACCCCGCCCATCACTTCTGCAGGCTCTCGGGTGAAACTGAAACTTAAACTGTCTGTGGAGCTCCTAACATTAGGAAGTGATGAGAAGATAAATTTATTTTCTATTTAAAAATAAAAACGCATTTTAATAACAGCTAAAGGTGACATAGATACTTTATTATGGTATAGTATTTAAATATATGTCTGAAAAACACATAATATTGCCCCTTTAACGAAGCTTCCTGGGTTTTTTCTTCCCCTAATAGTGTTTTGTTTGTTTTAACTAGCACAAAATGGTTCTCTAGAAACAAACTGTTGCTCACATCTGGCCAAAACATTTTTCAAATTGTTTTAAGTGTGCAGAAAAAGACACTATGCAACAGTTCAAGAACAATACAAGATCTTGAAAAATCAAAAAAGGCAAATGAACAGAAATAAATGATGTGACTTGTCTAAGCTATCGTTAAGGCAATAACAAAGAGTGTGACCCTGCTGCATAGGTCATTATTTTTCATGAAATTGGACATATATCTCTTATCATGTTTGGGTTTTTGATGTTGAATGTTTGGACCAAAAAACAAATCACAAAAAAGACAAAGGTTTATTAGTGAAATCGTTCTTTTTTACTTTTTTTTTGTCTATGTCGCAGACCAAAGGTTTACTGTTTTATGAGGATGTTAAATGCAGTCTTTCAGCAGAAGTATTATGAGCAGAGTTTAGTTAAAAAAATGTGTTTCTATTATTACCAAAAAAGAGAATTTTTATTATACACTGCTGGCCCCTGCTTGCTTTGTTGCTCAATCCTAAGATTGACATGTTGATTTCATTTTATCTTTTGCAGCTATTACATTATACTTTAGCTTTAAAATAATAGTGAGGGTTGCAGCTTAGACTTTAAAGTGCAAGACACTCCTAAATTAAAAACAAGGAAGCTTAAACAAGTATTAGCAACTGTTTTTAAAGCATTTTAGCTATTTAAACTGATTAATTAACTAATGAAACCTGTCAAAGACCTTAAAAGGTAAACAATATTTAGGAATGAATGACTCCATCTAGTCTAATCTCAAATTGTGATAATCTTTTGTATTACTCCTTGTCGAGCTGACACAGTTATCATTTTCTACTGTAGCAACATGATTTCTAAATGCACCACAGCACACAAAACTTGCAAATATTGCCTTAAAGGCAGTGAAAACTGGAGATGGAGGTTGATCAAAGGGTGTCACATTACAAAAGAGGTAAAAAGCCAAAAGAAGTAAGGGAACACCAATCGACTGGTATGTGTACTGCAGCCACAAGAGTGAGCAAAAGGTGGAAGGAGGGTGGGGATTGTAGACAGAGAGCTGGGATAAAAGGAAGCAAACGGCATGCCAGAGGCAACAACAGCGGCTGGCAGTGACTGATATACCAGTCAACTGTGGAGTGCACACTTACATAATCTTTAACTGCAGGTTCAGAGCTTCCCCTTGGGTCTGCATGGTGGCAGAGGCTGTGGCACTGGCCCCCCGAGGTGGGCCCTCTTGCCACTAAGGAGAGCCCACGCCGTGCAGTGTGCCAGGGCCTGCTGATCTGGGCGAGGTGAGTCAGAACCTGTTAGCATGACTGGTGTCCCCAGTCTGACACACTGGGCTTGTCTGACATGGCCGTGTGCACATGAATGTTAAGGAAGAAAAAAAAGTGCGTTATGTGTGAGTGTGTGTGTTCGTACGCTCCCTTTCTCTTGTCCCTCCCAACCCTGCCAGCACTCCCTTTCCTCTCATCCAGATAAAATCCTTTCAGACACAAATTTCAATTATTCACCTCATCCAAATAATGCCATGTGACAAGAATTATCCCTACTGTAATAATCCACTTAACTGGGAAAGAGCAGCTCATCAAAAAGAAAAAAGGGGGCTGGAAGTGAGGGTGGTGGTGGGACTTGTCAGCCTGTCTTGAATCAGGACCTTTGTAACAAGAATTTCTTCCCTTTTTGAGGAGGCAGTCTTCAAGTGCACTGGGATGATGAAATTGAAGTAAATTGAAAGAAAGCCTGGGAGAATGCTCCCACAATCAATAAACCCAGGATTAAATTAGCCTTGGCATGAAGGGATGATGGGGGAAAGATGAAGAGTGAATGGTGGCGAATGACATTGAGACATGCAGGCTGAACAATATAAACCTGGGTGCTGTGCCCATACAAGGACAGTGAATGTACTCGAGATGGTTTCCATCTCATTTAGCAACAGCAAAAGTCCTTATAAACACTTCCCTTTAACCATTATTTAAAAAACAACTGATGCTTACTGCTGTTAGGTGCCTTCTTTAGTCATTATTTACAACTTGAACTGCTTAAATAAGGCACACAAGACTACAAAGAAACATCTCCCACAAAAAATTGACTTTCTTCTCTGTAAACAAAGACAGTTTTGTTATTGTCAAACCAAATTAAAAAAAAGTCTTAAAGTCTGAAGTCTAAGTTTTACGCTATGCATGATTAAAGCAACCGTTGCTGTTAAAATAGACTTTTTAAAATAAAGTGTCCTCTCATTACAGCTCAGGAACGTCAGTGTGATACTAAAGTGACTGTCTGCTAATTAGAAGTCTTTTACAATGGAGCGGCCTAGGGAAATTTGTAATTTCATCAAATTATGTAAATAAAATGTGCCACAATTTAAGAGTAGAAGTGCTTCATTATGTGCTGCTAAAAAGTGTAGACATCCATTCTTACAAAAATATTACAGGCACTGATTTTATGCTTAAACAGATGATCACAGAAAAAAAAACTATAGTCAGTAGAAATCATGTTTAAGTAAAAATGTTCAGACTCTGAACAATTAGTTCTGATTAATTACCATCAATACTTGAATCATAATTTTAAAAATAATCCAATTCTTTGTATAAGCTAGTCTCAAAAAGGTAAATTATGAAATAAAAGTGCAATTAGGTTCACCTAACAGTGAGAATTTACTTACATTAAACTGTCAAACTTAAATTGTGTGTTTTGTTTTGTTTTTCTCTCACCTTGCTGTCCTATGGATAAAATAATTTGCATTATCCTCCTGACACTTACCAGAGCTTCTCTGGGACGGGCTGCTTCGACATCTCCAGGCGGAAGGCCAGGCTGCAGGGACAAATTAAACAGTAGTGTTATAGAGCCATCTACTGGGGGATAGTGGTGATGTTATTTTACAACTAGCTTTTTTTAAATGATTCAAACAGGCATAGAAAAACACAGCCCCCTGTAACTTTACTGTCTTAAGAAATTATAACTGATTTTTAAAAGCCTAAAGCATTAAAATCTAGTTATAGAATTTGAAACAGACGTGTCTGTCTGTCTACTTTGACAATGAAATAGATTTGTTTTAATTTTAGCTGTTTAAAAAGAATATATTTAGAACCTTTGATGACAAGGAGAAAGGGTTAGGAAATAACATTTTCATAACTTTATCAGAGAAAATATTAGAGAATCAATTGCATGTTACTTTTCATTGACAATTGCATTTCACTAAAAATCAAACAGGTCATATGGCATGAATTGACTCCAAGTGTATCATTCATAGTTAAAAGACATTTTTATGTGTGTACAATAAGCAAACAAGTTACACCCCCTGCCATGTGTATACATGCAAAAAGAAATTACAAATAAAAAATATATATAAATACAGTATCATGTACAAATGAGACAAGAAAATATAAAGTAACTAAAATGTTTTTAACTTCATCTTTTCTTGGCAGATGATGTAAATGAAAGATGTGACGTCACAACACTTCTGTTTGTCCTTTCATTTATTTTCTGTCTCATTGAGTTATTTAGGTCAGAATACATTCTACATTTTTAATACTTCATTTAGTTTGGTGTATTTCAAATTTGCAACCTCAAATTAACAGTCCTGTAATTGCAGCAGCAAAGACGTTATTAAAGTTTGATTAGATAAACCAATCTTTTCTTTAACTTGTGTTGTCTTGGATGCTAGTTGGCCTTAGGAAAACAATTCATTATATTTCAGTGACCTTTACCCTAAACAAGCAGCCATAACAAGACAGAAGCAATGCTACATGATGGGTAAATAGAAAACCTAACCTTTGGTCAAAGTAAATAGACTATCAAACAAGCCAAGGTTTTTATAAAAACGTATGTGTAAAACCTAGAATGATTTCTGCCCACTTTATAACACATCTTTGAGTGCTAACTTTGAAACACAACGTAGTTAGCATGCTAACTAGCAAGCATGTACCATGCTACCTTCAATTAGCTGAGAAGTAACCACTTGAAGTGAGCGTCATTTAAAAGCTACACATTACATAAATACATTCAAACGATTCGTAGTTACATCCGGACACCAAACGGTGAATGTATGAGAGGTCGTATAGATAGAGAGACCTGTGTTGGTGAGTCAGGTTGCTCGGTGGATGCCATTTCTGTCCCTCGACAGTTCGATTCAATCGTGTTCGATTGCTTTTCCTAAAGCATTCACAGTCCATCAAAATTTTGTTTTTCTGTGTGAAATTAACAAAATAATAATAATAATAATAATAATAATAATAATAA